ACTTAGAGATATATAGATATATATCTAAACTATTTTATGACAAGATGGGCAAAAATATATTATATATTTTATGTTTTTTGGAAATAAATTATTTTAAAAATATTTATTATTAAACTATTAAAGACAAGATAGGGTGTTTTAATTTGATTTTCTTGTCGGACAGTTAGAATATATATATATAGGAATTTTCTAAATATATTTTTAATTTCTTTAAAGTAATTATTCATATATTGCTTAACTATATAATAAAAACATCAATATATGAATTTTATAATTTAACTTTAATTTATGAGGAAACCATTAATTATTTTTAGATAAGAAAACCATTAATTATTTGACTTTATTTAGCTACGTTGACTCAATATTGTCCATACATGTGTAATCTTATCATAAATATTGTCCATACATGTGTAAACTTATAATAAATAAATAAATAAACTTAGACTACTAATTTTTTTTATTTAAAAAAAAAATCTCAAAAGGATAACTCAAAAGTTTCCATCTAAAATAATTGAAAAGATTTATTTGTTCCATATAATTATTCAGAAAACTATTCAAATAGACATAAATATATAGTCTTGACTCACTGTTAGTAGATATTGTCTGTATATAGTTGTCAGTGTCAAGTGAGAGTTTTCCATACTCTTATAAAAAAATGTTTTGTTTTCGTATCCAGATGAATGATATCACTGTTACTAAATTTTTATAGGTTCGTTTCCATCTTCAACCAATCTGGATCTCACTATTTGCATCTATAATTTTCTATTCTATTACTAAATCTTGTTAAAAAAAAACGATAAAGCTATCAAGAAATTGAAATCGTTACGAACCACGAACGGAAAATTAGGGTTTTTTAAAGAACTTACATTGCAAATGGAAGAGAGGAGCTGAAAATCATAACCCATTTGAGAGCCACAAATCCCAATCAAATTGCCATTTTGTTCTTGTTGTTCTTGTTGTTGATGATGAATCAAATGAGATAATGAAGAAGGCTTCACTTTTGGTTCCATCAAACCCACAAAATACCCACAAAAAGCCTTCAATTCTCTTCCAACCACTTCCTCAACCTCCAAATAATCTCTCAAAAAGCTCTCTATCATGACTTGTGGGAAAAAATTACTGAACCCAATTCTCTTCCTCCCTTTTTTTACTGCCTCAAAACCCTCCAATCCGACGTCGTTCATCAAGAACTTACCCAAAACTGATGACCCAATTCTAAACTTATCTTTTTTAACCCCAATAAATGAAATCATCACCATAATTTTCAATCCCATTTCTTGGCCGACAAGTCGGATCAAAGGGTACGACATCAACAAAGCTGTCGCACGGATTACCCCACTTGCTTCAAAAGCCACCAACATGAAGTAAGAGAAGAAATATGGCGATGAGGGTTTTAATAAAGCCTCTTCCACGTTAAAGATTAGAACTTTTCCTTCGCCGCCGCTGAGTTTCGCCGGAGATGGGTCTTTTTGGTATTTCTGGTGAACGCCGGCGGTGGCGGTGGCTGTTCGCCGGAATTTTTTAGAGAAAATTCGATGGAAAAGAAGGAAGAGAGCTTTAACGACGAAGAAGGGAGTGGAATTCATGTTGTTTTGGTCTCTGGAACTGTCTGAAAAGAACAGAGATTTAAAGGTGGTTTATTTATAGGGTTTTTGATTTGTTATTGCCCTTGGTCATGGGTTTAATTACATGATTTGCCATTGTTGTTGCTTCTTCAAGCCACCCTCTCCTACTTCCTTATTTTCCATTTGCATTTAATGTCGCACAAAGTTTGAATATTTTAGTCAATAATTTAGCAAAAGAGAGAGAAAAAAAGTGCCAAGTAATTAATTTTGAAGTGGATATAGAAAAATCATATGATTAATGTTTGAATTTTCCGTGCTAATAGACTCGATAGACGACGGAAAAATACAATTACGAGTCAAATGATAACAAAAGATGAAATTTGTGTTACCAATTTAAGCATAAAAATGTAGATATGCTCGAATGGTGGTGGAGATATGAACGTTTAAATCTCGAGAAAAGAGAATATTTTTTCTCGATCACAATTCATGACTAGCCGAGCTATGTTCAAGTTAATGAATAGATGTATTGATTATTGAGCTATAGTCATGTTGGCATTGTAAACGCATTCTTTTATAATATTTAATTAGCTAAATTAGTAAAAATATATTTAATTTAGTATAATAATAATAATAATGGTATTGACCTTCTAATATTAATTATTGTAATAACTAATATAATTAATATTCAAATTAATCCTTCAACTTAAGTTATTTAATTTGAGCCTAATTTGTTAATCATTTAATTTCATTTTTTTAAAAATTAATAAGTTTATTTATTTGATTATCTAAATTCGAATAATTTTTAATATATATATAATTCAAAATTAAAATACTAAAAGCAAAATCATTTTCTATTTCTTATTTTTGAAATTGAATTTTTACTTTTTAAAAATTACATTTTTTTTCTTAAAAAATGTATACAAAATTATTTTTAAAAATAGAATCCTTGTCAAACAATTTTTTTAATTATTCACTTTTAATTTTTGCATTTAGTAGGGAAATACTCTTTTCATTTTTTTTTTTTTTTTTTTTTTTTTTTTTTTTTTTTTTTTTTTTTTTTTTTTTTTTTTTTTTTTTTTTTTTTTTTTTTTTGCTTCTGTTTTTTGTTTCATAGATTTTAAAATATATTGAATTTAAAAGTTTAAAGAACAAAATAATATTTAAATAAATCAATAAAAAATATAGAAAAAAAATTAAATTAAATATTTATAATTAAAGCACGGACATAGTTAATAAATAAATTTATAAATCATGAATCAAAACATAGGGTAGTGATATAAATGACATTCAACATTCAATAAATTACAACATTCATTTTTGTTGGATTAAAAATAAAAGAAATTAATATTTGAATTGTATACTTTTCAAATTAAATCATCTTATTCCTTCCCGTCTCCATAATTAAATACCCGTTTTATTTTAGTCATTTATTGTTATTATATACTTTTTATGTATAAAAAAAATGTACATTATTAATATAAGCAATATTAACCAACATATTTTTAAAATTACTCAAATATCATAATAAAAATCTTCTATTATTAGAATAATAATAATAATAATAAAAAAGACTGTCAAAGTTATAATAAATGTTGAACAAATAGAAGTCAAATTAACCCTCCAAAACTATAGGCTGTTAAGTTACATACCTAAGTTTTCAATTTTATAATAAATTTTGACTTTAAAATATCAATATTAATTGAGAAAATGATAGAGATTTAATACTGTATTTGTTGGGGAGTGATTTTAATGAAAATAATTTATTTGAGAGTGATTTTAGTGAAGAAGTTTATTTGTAAGTATTTTATTATAAAAGCGACCGTTCGTATAACTATTTTAATGTTTAATTTTACATTTTTAAACGAGTTTTTAAGATTTAATTCAGTGAGAATTTATTATGAGTATCAATCTAATGATCTATGCCTATTCCCTGCATTGGACACGCTATTTATTCCTTATTTTTAAGAGTAAATACTATCCTTAAAGACTAACACGAATCCTTCGAATATGTTTGGTTTCCTAGGAAGCCGCTCAACGTAAAATTGTTCGTAATAGAACAGATTAATCATGGTGGTCCTATAATTGAGTCACCGAAAAAAAGTAGTATACTTTGTTGATATAGGTAGTAACTTTCATTGCCTTTTTGACTTTCAATTACTACCTAATTGGGTAAGATAGAACTTTTTCAGAATGGCTCCTTCACAAGTCTCGACCTCTCGAGTTGCATCCACGATGTTGCAATCTTGTACTCCTTCGACAAAAGATGCCAACATTGAGCTTCGGGTTGTCGTATCAAAGTCAACACTCGAGAGGCAGGTAGACATGAGAGTGCATGCATCCACCACGGTCAAGACTTTCACAAGGAAACTAAAGAGCATCTGCTCAAGATCACCTTCTTCACCTCAGAATTAATCTAATTGATGAAGCACAACTCGGAGATAAAATTTCTTTACATTTAACGACTCATCGAGAACGATTTCAGTAATAATCTTTTTGTGTCAGCTGTTATGCTGCGAGGATCGTCCCTGTAGAGGCGACACGGGATGTTTTCATACACGAATCCATGATGAAGATGGGGTTAACAAAAGAAAATGACAGAGACCAAGTTTGGTGTCAAAGTCAGAAGCTTTTGTTTCTCTGCAAGACAAAAGCCTATGTGTAGAGCTCAAGCTTAGCTTTGAACATAAAATCACAATATCATTTTGCTGTCTAATACCTGAAATCTTGGAAAGTTTCAAAGCTTCGTTGTAACAGCCCAAGCCCACCGCTAACAAATATTGTTCTTTTTGGGCTTTCCATTCCGAGCTTCCCCTAAAGGTTTACAAACACAAACCCTTATAAAGAATGCTTCATTCTCCTCTCCAACCGATGTGGGATCTCACAATCCACCCCCTTCGAGGTCCAACATCTTCGCTGGCTTTCATTCCTCTCTCCCATCGATGTGGGATCTCATGATCCACCACTCTCCTTCGTGGCCCAGCGTCCCCGCTGGCATACCGCCCAATGTCCACCCCCTTCGAGGCTCACCGTCTTCGTTGACACACCGTCCGGTATCTAACTCTAATACCATTTGTAGTGGTCCAAGCTCACCGCTAAGAGATATTGTCCTTTTTGGGCTTCCCCTCAAAGTTTTAAAATACGTTTGCTAGAGAGAGGTTTCCGTATCCTTATAAATAAATGTTTCGTTCTCCTCCCCAATCAATATGGGATCCCACATTCATTGATTTGAAACTCAAGAGATATGCTCATAAATCTAACAAATTCAAGAATCAATTGGCCAGTGGTCGATCGTACCTGTTTATCCTCGAAGAACGGCATGAACATCATCTACCAGCAGCAAATCAAAGGTGTAGAGGGTTAAGCATCATCCAAACATATCATCATTATCCTGCAGGTTTGTTAGCTAAATTGAAAGGAAAAAGTTCGTAACTCAACTCATCAAAAGAAAGCCTGGAAGCAAGCAGGACTGTCTGCCATACCTTTTATGTAGGTTCAGCTACCTACATCCAAGAACATCACCATGAACTTTCCAATATAAATTATTAAGATAAAATTAAGATATAAAAGCATCTGATTACAATAAAAAAAAAAAAAAACGAAAAATTCGATGTTTCTTCGTATTTATATACAGATCAGTCGGATGCAACGGCGCATCGAAGTAACTATTCAAAAATCATGGCCATAAGAGCCAGCAAGCTGGCTCCTAGGCTATCAACTTCAAAAAGATCCTCAAATCAGCCACCCTTTTCGCCTTAAAGGGGAACAAAACCAGAAACGAGTTATGCAGCAGAACTGCATCAACAAGATGGTACAAAATTAGACTAGGAATACTTGGAAACTTATATTCAATAAACCATAACCATTCACTAGCAATACGCACTTAACATCGGGGGGATTTGCCATATTACTTTCATTTGGAGGAAAGCTTTTAATGTACTGAACGGAAATGAAACCGCTACTACCATCAACAGCAGGTTCGGGTGACCCCTGCAGCATCGGACTGCTTCGGGAACTTATTCCTGTAAACACGGTCGAATAAAACTCCCTTAAGAACATAATGCTAAAAGAAGGCACAAACTGATAACCAGATTGAAGGACACGACACCAAGAACACCCTTCTCGAACTTCGAATTTTCAAGACCAAGCAGTATAGGACCTATAATAAGCTAACCTTGAAGGATGATTACAAGGAAGAACAGAAATGTGATAATCATGGCAGGAATGCAACTATTGAAGGAAGATGTTTTCTCGGCTTTTGACTTCCTCAATGCTTTCATTCGCTCGACTCTTGCACGTTTTTTCATGGCAATTACTGCAATTTCCTTCACCAGCCTTCTATCAGCAGCATCAAGAGAAGGACCTTTGGGCGGCCGTGGTGGCTTCAGAGCCTTTTTCTTATTCTTATGCTTCCCTCTAGCATTAGTTTTCTCGACATGCGCAAAAGCTTCACAATCGTCTTCTCCTTCCAAATTCTTATCTATCAACAATTCTACGTTCACATCAGCAACAACATCGGCAACAGAATTAGCAAAATTACTGTTCGACGCTACGACTAGCTCATCTTTTAGCAGTGTATCCTCTGTCAACCTATTCCAAATGTTCTTTACATCTCGTTTAATTGAACTTGGTTCCACACTTCCAACCTCTTCACCAATCCTCCCCCCACTTTCGAGATCAAACGCGAGATCCCTTTCTCTTAAAGCCATGTACTCAATCTCATAGCCTTTCAACTAAAACAACCAAAATTCACTCGAACTCTGCAATCAAAGATGAACGTTCAATCCTAATGCGAATTCCTGAATCGCTGTAACATGACAATGAAGAAAAAGAAGAACACTCCCACTTCAATACAATGAAATTTCCAACATATTGCAAATGCAAAACTTCAAAATCCGTGAAATAGCTGAACCATACTGAGAAGGTCAATCTCAAGAACATCAAAGGGACCTCCAAAGAATCTAACCCATAAGTCTCTTAAATTACAAAATAAGCAAGAAAACAACAATTAACATAGCATTGGTAAGAATCCGACACCAATATTTCGATACCAATAGCCAAACAAGAACAGCTTTGGTAATGCCAAAACAAATTTAGCAAAACACACAAAAAAATGAGAAAAACATCATCCCAGAAATTATGAAAAACTAAAAAGAAACCGATTAAACATAAACATAAACATTAAATGGAACGAACAAACAAGTCCGAAAATAACCTAGAATGAGTCGAATCGAAAAATCCAGAAACCCAATAGCGAGGAATCAGTAAAAACCTACCCAAATTCAATCGGTATTCAGCTCAGACCGACAAAATCCAAATCGATTTCGCTACAGTTCTTGTCTGATCATCAGGACATCAAAAAATGCATTATTGGAAAATAAAAATATTTTAATGAAATGGGACATGGAGAAATTATGAAAGTAAACCTTTATGAAACTGGAGCGTGAGAATTTGTCCTGATCGGAGACGGCGACGGATGACTGAGTCAATCCTTGGATGATATTTATATTTGCTCCAAACGGGTCAAAAACCAAAGGAAACGATCAGTCCCGGTTGATTATGAAATCGTCGGCCACATTTGGAAATTTCCAGAACCGGTAAAGTTTTTTATTTTGTTTTTTCGTTTTTTTTTTCAGTTCTTTGAGGGAATTTGTTTTTTTTTTTTTTTTTTTAATGCTAATTATTTTGTTGAATTAAAAATTAGTTTATTAAAAATGAAAACAAAATTATATTTGCTTCTCATAGAATAAAGCTTTTTTAATATATATAATTTTGAACTCAACTAAAATTAAAATTAAAATTAAAATTATTTTTTTTTAATGTTTTTGTGAGATAATATCACTTAATTCTTAAACCTTCAGGTAGAATATATATATATATAATTTATTAAATGAAAAAAAAAACATTATAAAGTTGGTGGAAGAAATTATTAATTATAAATAGGGAAATTAAAAAAAAAAATGTGGCCCAAATTCTAGTGGGCTATTCAATGAGATATTTTAAATTTTATGTGGGTTTGAGTGTATGCCCAATTTTGGTGGAAGGAAAATGCATAAATTATTGTTTTTTTTTCCATTATTTATTATCCCACTAATTTTTTAAAAATAATTTTTAACTTTTTTAAATATATATTAATATTTAGAAATAAATAAATAAATATTTTACTATTCTGATGAAAAACAAAAATTTCCTATCAGACAACTCGATTCAATTCCGCTCAAATCTTTTTGTGGTTGAATTATATTAGGTTTAAAAAATATTTCAATCCGACCCAATTCAAATTATATTTGCCTTTAAAAAATTTATGAATTAAATTATAAACTCTAGGTTACAAAATTTATTTGGTTTAGAAGTTTTGAATTTTTTAAATTTATTAAACATGAAATTTAAAAATTTTAATGATTAATTAAAGCATCTTCTAAATTCTAAATTCTGAATTTAAGGATGAAAAAGAAAAATAAGTGGGTTGATAACCTTAATTAAAAGATGTTCAACAATTGTCGACTCTATGTTGCTTTTACACTCGTGTATAACACTTACAATATCGACGTCTCGATTTTATTAGTAAACCCCAATTAAAAGTAGACTAAAAAAACCTATTTAGAAAACATTGAAAGAGTCGATATGTATACAATAACTTTGTTATATATAATTTACCTATAAACACGATTCATTGAGTTAGGTTGGGTTTTGTGAGATCGAACAATCTCTCCATGCCAATTCATTGTATTGAAAAGGAGCGATATCTTGAAATAATCTATGGTTGATCGTGGCAGCAAAGAATTGATTAGCATGATTGGAGGATGCAACGTCACACGGTGGATGAAATGATGATGCCACGAAGCTCTTTGGGTGGTTGATAAAGTTCGAATTATGACCATTTTGGTAGTGGAAGAGAGACGGGGTTGTGGTGGCGGTGGTGAACATTGCAGAGCCATTGTAGAGGGCGGTTGAGATGGGCGGAGGAAAGAAGGTTGTTCGTGCCATGTTGTTGGGGCTAGAGTGAGTGTGTTGGCCTTCGTAGGTCGTGACGACAATACTTGAATCTTTTAAATATCTCTCCACTCGTTTCTTTACATTGCATGCTACATTAGTACAACGATAGTAGCTTCTAAAACACGAGAGTAAAAGAAATTGTTAGGAAAGTATATAAATCCCCATACGGTAGAAATTCATGTTGAAAATTTACCTAGGGTAAGGGCTGTTTTTCACCGCTTTCTGACCGTACTTTCTCCATCTATAACCATCTTCCAAATGATCGACTTCACTTTTTGTCATGAACGCGAATCTTGGTTCTTGATCTTTTTTCTTCCGACTCGTTTTCCTTGTTTTCGACCTATATTTTCCACCCGAACATAATATTAAAACATAAAATTTAGACAATCGTAAAAGTTCAATTAATTTCTCATAGAGATGAAAATCCTCTAAAAAAAATTACAAAAATAGAAAACAAAGCACTCACTGCTTATCCGTTTTTAGGGTTTGTCGGGAATGTTGTTTCTTTTCTCTCTCTAGCTTTGGCTCGATCACCTCATCATTGACGATCTCGCTCGACGTCGACGAGATCGACGATGAATAATTTGGTGTAGTTGGCCACTGATTCCAAATCTCCAAATTTTCGATAGGATTTGAAATCAGAGAAGACGACAAAGATGACGTCGAAAACACATCAAATTGGGATAAAAATTCTTGATCAACATCGAGCATCTCCATGAACCCGAGATAACCCTTGTGCTCGGGAAATGGAAACCGCAATGAATCAGCTGCTGCCACCTCCTCCATCTTCATTAAAATAATAATAATAATAAAATCTAGAGAGAGTGAGAGGGGGAGAATGAGAATTTTATAGAGAGAAAAAATTGGAATTTAAGAACAATGAATGGGAATTGGGGGATAGGTGACCGGCAATTGTAGGTCACCCGACAATGGGAGTGGAAAACAAATACGAGGACCGACAGAACAGAAGAGAAGGTGCGACACGTCGTACTGGGGTGGTAACCGGTCGGTCTGAACGGGGTTTTGACGCACGTGAAGTATATGCGGCTAAATCATGAAAACGCCGTCGTTTGGTGAGCATGCGTAATAAATATAATTCTTTTTATTATTTTCTCAATCCCGATATTGCTTCATTGTCTCCCCATTCGTTCACAATCTCTTTCAATCTTTTCCTTTTTTCTTTTTTTCTTTAAGGATTTAATAAAAAAGATATCCAAATCTTTATGAAAATTAATGTTCTTGTATTTGTATTTATTATTCTAACGCATCAAAATCATTGCGATCGAGATTGATCCGTGATGAATTCAATTAATCTTTCTGAAAAGACGGAAATAAAGATTCCATTCGATAATAGTTTTTATTTATTTGAGTATATATATTAGCATATATCAAAAGTGACGCGTGATAATTGGGATACATGAATGAAATAAGATCATATTCGAAAATTAAGAGTACTTAAAAGAATAAAATTTTAATATCTATATCAGTAACGCACGTTTTCTTTTCGGTGGTTTAATCATAAAAACTCCGATTAGTGTACCTTATTTCAATAATTCTATATAGGGTGACTTTCTGAAAATTTTCTGAATATGCGAACAAATAATACTAAAAGGACGCTAGTTGGCCCACGTTATCTTGTGAAAGTTGATAACATTAAAATTTTTAAACAATTGAAAATGGTGTAGTATTTTTTTTTCTTCTGTCACACCCGAGTAAATGAGAGGTACAAGAATGAATCGATATCATATCTGAATGAGAGGAACCTTGATGATAGGATAACTAAGAAAGATTTAAAAGAATTGAAAGTCACTACTTTCTGAAATAAGGTGCACTTTTCTTCTCGATAGCTCAATTTTAAGAACTCAATGGTCAAATAGGCTCACTTGATTCTTACCATTTAGGCTATTTAGGTTCATTTGATTTTGTGATCGATGAGTCCGAGACCTAATTCTTGGAATCACCTCGGACTGCTTTTCATATGGGTGTAGAAACCTCTTTCTAGTTGACATATTTTAAAACTGTGAGCCTGACGATGAAACGTAACGAGCAAAAGTGAATAATATCGGTTAGTGTTGGGTTTAAACTGTTTTTGTCAAAACAAAAACAAGCAATATCTACTAGCGATGAACTTGAGTTGTTACAAGACCAAAGTGCAAATGCCTAAATGTAATATCATTTCATCTTAGCTACTTATCTACTCGTATTAATTTCATTTTATTCAAGTTTAATACATGACCACGGTTTTTTCATGTCATTTTTCACATTTAATTTAAATAAGTTTAAATCTTATTTCATTTTTAAAGTTCATTCAATATATATATGTCGAATATGTTTTCGACGTACGTATATAATAATGTGTTAGTCGGAAAATGTAATATAAAATTTTAATATTAAATTTATAATGTAAAGTAAGAATTTTAAGCCTAAAATTGAAATAACTATTTTGAGAAAAAAAAAATAATATAGGTTTTAACCTAGAGAAATAATAATATAAAATTAGAAAAAAAAATCAAAATTTTTGGATATAAAGAATATGAAAAAGATAAATGACCGTTGAGCCGAAAGGTCGCCGATGTGGGACCGAAGCGCCGAGCAAAACAAATGCAACGGGCAAAAAAAAAGAAGATACGGATCCACGATAGAATCCGGATCCGAATGGTTAGCCGCTGCTCCACGACGAGACGAAGACGTTGGCCTGCACTTATCCGTCGATTTCGATGATGACCTGTCATACCTTTCGCACGTGCCCCATCTTCTAAATTTGTATTTTTCCACGAGTTTTTTTTGTTTTTTTTTTAGAAAAAATTAAAATCTATAAAATTTATATTATTTTATTATTCGACAACATTGGTTTGAAATTCTAACTATCGATCAAGTCGTGTTTAAATAATTCTAACCATACAATCTAAACGGCATACAAACTTAACTCTGCTGTTGCATTTTCTAAGTTTAACCTACAAAATAACTTTATATTATAGCCTATAAAATTTCATAAACTTACAACTTTCATATTTTACTACAATAATTAGCTGAGATATCTCAAAGATATCCTTGTTGATCGAATATCTTAAGGCAACAACATTATTTGAGATTCGAATCACTCCACAAGAAAGATTGATCATATCGAGCTTGAATGATTCTACATGCAACCTAAACTACATAGAATTGCAAATAAACTTAGTTATTGGCTAAAGAAAAACACAAATGCTTCTCTTACTATATATTTTCCAAGTCTACTTACAAATACAACATACATGACTTTATATAGCCTCGAAATAAAGCTGCTAAAGGCATTCCAAGAGTTGCAACATTCATACTTAATGACCTTAATTAACGTAGTCCACCAAAAACTTAAAACATGAAACTTCATTCTTCTTCAATGTGACATGAATTGAATTGAAATATCTTTGGATAATTTCAACAATATTTTCTTCACATCTTCATTAAAGCATATTGTATGATTGATGTCTCTTGGTTTATATCATATATGGTTTAAAGTAAACAAAAAGTCTTAAAATATATTAATAAAACAATATAATTTATGATTCATTTAAAATTTGTAATTATTAAAAAATAAATAAAAAT